ACTGAAACATATTGGGTATTTATCTAAAACTCTTAAATATCAGTTATTAGTTTTCTCATGGTGAAATAATTAAAACATATTCTAGTAATTAGAGTCAAACTATCATTTCCTTCTAAAGTCTACTTCAACTCTCTACCCACTAACGTCTGCGCCTGAACTCTAAAATGTTATTTACTAATTCAATCTTGACCTCTTCGTTTCTAGAGTTAGCATTTATCTTTCGTTAGCAGACATGGAAAGGAAATTACAAAACCTTTTACTGAAGGTAACGAAGGAGGGCGAGAAGAAAGGTCTAAACATAAACTACAAGAAGACAGAATGCACGGTCACCAGTAAAAGGATGAACCCAAAATGCGATTTACAGGTCGAGCACACTAAAATCAAGCAGATGCGGAAATTTAAATATCTGGGAAGAGCAATCAGTAAGTGCGACGCTGAGATCTGAAGACGTATTAGGATGGCCAAAGACGAATCCCAAAAGCTAGGCAGAGTATTACAAGACAGGAGGGTTACGTTGCTACGTGATATCTGCCCCTCTTTACGGTAGCGAATGTTGGACAATCTCCTCAAAGATGAAGAGGAGACCTAAGGCAACGGAGGTATGGTTCTACAGAAGGATGCTAAGGATATCATGGACCGAACTTGTAAAAAACAATGAGCTTTTTGAGAAGATGTAAACAAGGAGGAAGCTTATACTTAACACCAGGAAGAGGCAGCTGAAAGTACTGTGACACGTAATGAGAAAGGAGGGCTTAGAGAATCTGATACTCACAGGGCGGATAGAGGGAAAGAGAGACAAAGAAAAGCAACGCGTGACACAACTATCGGGCAAGTAGATGAGAGAACAGGGTTTGCGAGAAGTAGCAAAAGAACAAAACATACTGAGAACTACAATGGATAGGAGGAAGTGGAGAGCCATGATCGCCTACAGCCTGAAGGAACACGGCTCATAAAAGAAGAATAGAACTTCACTTTTTGCTCTTTATTAGGCTAATACGGCAGCTCTACCTTGAGCGACTCTTGGGCCTTGTATTGATAGAAACAAATTCCCTGTGTTACAGCATTATGCAAATCATCTTTTTATCATTGGATATGTGTTGTAGAAACTCTTCTATTTGATTGAAGTGATAAACATTCGATTTCATCCTTTTGGATTCGATATTCATAGATTCGATCTGAATTGATTCGCCTCCTTAACGTTCATATTATTTGTCGTTTATTTCTATCATTGATTATTGTTAATTTTTGTGATAACTGATGAAACGCTAAAATATACAGAAAATGAATAATGAGTATAAAGAAAATGTCATCAATGAGATCGTATGAACCTTCGGACTAGGATCTGCTCGAAGTTAGCCAAGATTTAAATACATTGATCGAAGAATAAGTGTCTACTTGATTAGCTGAAAAGAAAACAAGATAATGGATTCTGTTCAAAATACACCATGGAAATATTTAGATAAGGATATATTGGATATCACAGCTTAAATGGTAAAGAAAGAATTCATTATTCGAAAGACCGAACAAGATCAGTATCAGAATAGATTTGGGATTTTGTCTTTTATAAATCTAAGATCGAATCTAGAAACCAATGTGGTGCTACATACTCTGTCGGTAAAAATGGACTTAAGAGTATTGTTGCTTGTGGAAACTTACGTGGCGACATGCAATAAACCGCTATATGAAGTAATTTAAGAGTTAAAGTAATGGCAATCGGATTATGAACACTACAACTGAAATACAAGCATGAGTCAAAAAGTAATTCGATTTATTTTATTATATCAGCAATAAGGAAAACAATCAAATATATCTTATATCAAGATATAGCTATACATCATAGGTTCACATCCCTGCTTCTCAACATATTCACACCTCTTTCAATGGCAGTGAAGAAATAAAGAAAACAATCAAACATATCGTACATCAAGATACAGGTATATTTCATAGGTTCACATCCCTACTTCTCAACATAGCCACAATGACAATGTTCTACCTACGAAGGAGGATATGTATCCCAGCTTCGTTGCCAATTCTTTACAGCAGTTTCCATTTCTTCATCACCACCTGACTTAGTACCCACCCCCAGATTTCCATCTCTTTGGTCCAATGAAAAAGAAGCAAACGTTATGGCGGTCATGAAATGGTGAAAACTGCTGTAATGAATTGGCTACATCAACAGCCAGCTGAATTTTAGGAAGCTGGGGAACATGCCCTCAACCTCTCTTATCTTGACGCTAGTAGATAAAAATAGGTACATATACAGTAGGCCAATAGCTTCGTGACATCATCTGGATGTAATATTCTGTAAGCTTTATACTTTATTTACTTTAATTAACTCACACTAACCTACGATACTATTTAACCCAATTCTCGCATGGATCCCCTTTTTTTTACGGATGATGTTACTTAGAATATTTAATCTGTCAGTCCAGATTATCATTAGCCATTAAGGTGTTCGGATGAGCTCTTCGTTATGTTACCTGGTCTTCATGAATTTAAGCGCTGTAATAAATCGGCAAAACAGCCTCATCAATTTATATTTGGATTGGCTAGATGTAACCGTGAGTTCTATCTTAAGTTTCTTTTCTCGCACTTCTCACTTGCGGAACTCTCTTCCGGGTCTATGTTTTTCGGCCAAGTTAGATCTTCAAAAATTTAAATGCAATCTCAATCGTTATCTACTGTCTTCCTGTTTACTCTTCTACTGTTTCCGCTCTGTTTTCTAATTTTTTTTCTAATTCTTTTACACCCAGTAACCCCTTATGTCTTAGAGTCTTTACTGCCTTGTCTGGGGTGAATTTAATTAAAAAGATTAAGCCAAAAGAACTAAAATCGTAAATAAAACTTATGCAATTTATGCAGTAAGGGATTAATTCCGTTGTAATTCATATTGAATATATGATAAATCCCTGCGGGAACCGACCCTATTATACTGTACAGCCGATATAATCAAAAATAAACAACGCGCATGCGCGAAATTAAAAATATAAAATGATGACGATATCCTCATCGTACCTTTTATATATATATATATATATATATATATATATATATATATATATATATATATATATTGATCGAGTTCATGGCATGGCAAAAGCCACTACGACAGAAGGGGTTACTGGGTGTGGTAGAATTAGAAAACAACATTACTAAGGAGTGAGGACAATAGAAGTGTAATCAGGAAGACAATAGGTAACGATTTACATTGCATTTAAATTTTTGAAGATTAAAGTTGGCTGGAAAGCTCTTAGCCAGAAGTTTTATATATATATATTTGTGTGTGTGTGTGTGTGTGTGTGTGTGTGTGTGTGTGTGTGTGTGTGTGTGTATATATATAGAGAGAGATAGATGTGTGTGTGTATATATGCATTCGTGTGTGTGTGTGTGTGTGTGTGTGTGTGTGTGTGTGTGTGTGTGTGTGTGTGTGTGTGTGCGTGCATTCGTGTGTGTCGGACAGGGAATATCTGATAAGCCTTTTGGTGTCGAATAAGTGGTTTGCTTAACAAGCATTATTTGCCCGAAACCTGTTTTTTAATGCCGGTTTACATTAATTAAGATCAGCCCCAGGGGTCGACCCCCGGGCAATCTCTCTCATAGAAAAAGGTTAGGGTTAATCCTTGGCGCCTGAGGCTTCTTCAGTGAAGGAAAATAAACTATTTTTGGCCCCTGGTCTTATGTACGCGTGAGACCACCATTTTAAAATCGGTCGGTTTTTGTTCGAGTGGACACACAGATGAAAACCCAACACTCTGTGTGCGTCCTGTTTGACTCAGTCGTTACGCGGCAGAAATTATTCGGTTACGCGTTCAAATATCTTGCGCTTTCGGCATTTCACGCCATTTTATGAACAGAACTTTTTAAACCTTCTGTCCTTTTTCCAGACAGAAAACGAAAATTTGCCGTCTGTATTGCCCCTAGCCTCTCACAACCAGCTTTAAATGCTTACTGTATTTATTCTTGTTTATTATAGCACGTAAGAACACAAGCTATTCGAAAATTGATGCCCCCATCCACTTCTTATTCTTCTATGTGACATTCCTTATAAGGCAATCATGACTCTCCACATCTTCCTGTAGGCTATTCAACGTTTCCCTTCTACCTACTTGCCTTCAATATGTCCTTTGTGTGTCAAATTTTCCAAGCCCTCTTTCATCATTATGCATCCAAGATATTTACACAAACTCATTAAGTCAGTTACCAGCTGTTTCCCTCTTCTTGTCTTTAATATGCCTTATGAGTGTCAAATTATCCAGGCCCTCTTTCCTCATTATGTAGCCAAGAAATTTGCACTAGCGTGTTAAGTAAGTTATCCGCTGTTTCCCTCTTCCCCCCTTTTCTTCAGTATAACATGTGAGTGTTAAATTCTCCAAGCCCTCTTTCCTCATTATGTATTCAAGAAATTTACACAAGCTCGTTAAGTAACTTATTCGTTGTTTCCCTCTTTTCCTCTTTTTAGTCATTGCATCGAAATCTTTCCTTAGGACAAAAAGCACGCAAAATAAAATTAAGTAAGTAATAATAGTACAATGTTAGAAAGAAATAATATAGACCAAAAAGAAAGAAAGAAAGAAAGAAAGAAAGAAAGAAAGGATACAAGCCAAAAAGAAAGAAAGAAAGAAAGGATACGAGCCAAAAAGAAAGAAAGAATACAAGCCAAAAAAAAGAAAAAAAAAGAAAAAAATAAAGAAGGCATACAAGTCAAAAAGAAAGAAAGAAAGAAAGAAAGGATACGAGCCAAAAAGAAAGAAAGGATTACAAGCCAAAAAGAAAGAAAGAAAGGATACAAGCCAAAAAGAAAGAAAGAAAGGACACAAGCCAAAAAGAAAGAAAGAAAGAAAGAAAGAAAGAAAGAAAGAAAGAAAGAAAGAAAGAATTGAATGAGTTAAAGTTTAAGGAAGGGGAAAAGAAGAGTATAAGAAAGAAAGAAAGAAAGAAAGAAAGAAAAGAAAGAAAGAAAGAAAGAAAGAAAGAAAGAAAGAAAGAAAGAAAGAAAGGATTCAAGCCAGAAAGAAAGAAAGAAAGAAAGAAAGAAAGAAAGAAAGAAAGAAAGAATTGAATGAGTTAAAGTTTAAGGAAGGGGAAAAAGAAGAGTATAAAGAAAGAAAGAAAGAAAGAAAGAAAGAAAGAAAGAAAGAAAGAAAGAAAGAAAGAAAGAAATTGCCCGCGAAAGGAAAAATAATAATGTCCGTGAAAATCTGAGAGAGACATATCACATTGTCTAAGACAAAAACAAGATTAGTTCGACCAGAGTACACATACCGGGTATAAAAGCAAAATTGTCCTATTGTTAGATTAAGATTTGAACCATTGTATCTTAGAAATGATTAAAGATATTTTACTGAGATTCTCCAAGATTTTTATAACACTACTGGGCTCTACTTTGAGCAATAGGAATGTATAATTACTCTCCAAACTTAACCGAAGAACCGTGATAAATCAATCATAAATGAATGTGGCATCATCATTAATTAATCAAAGCTAAGGATCGAAAGCTAAACGAAAGTTTTAAATAAAGTTCAAATATATATATATATTATTCCAGGATCATTTTCCAACTTATTCAAAATGATGCTCGCCCACTCTAACCTAACTTCTCTCCTCCCAGGTTTCACGTACGATTTCATTTTCAAGTTTTTTTTTCACTGCTCTTCTGACTGTCATAGCCAAAACTCCTCTCTCATGTGACAAACATCTTATGGATTGAGTTGACTATTTTCTAATTGATCTCTTTAGCTCTAAATTGAAATGATCCTTCTTTCTGTTGTGACCTCATGATTCATTTGTCCTCTCTACTGTTCCCTCTTTTAAAAACTTATTCGCCGTTCTCTTGAATGGACTTTTAAGATGGAAGCCAGAGTATGAATGTTAGCGCCATTACTGAAGGCCTGAATGATCTTTTTCCTCTCACAATTGCTCAGTTAGGAATACAGTAAGGTTGATACCAAACGATTTTAATCTGTTCTCTTTCTAGCTGAATATCTCAAAGAGTTTTTCTGTGATTTTTAAAACAAATGGTGTTATGATGGCTAAACGTCTTATCTGAAAACTTGTAAAAAAGAAGCTTAATTAGTTTAGTTGTCTTTTAGATGTTAAACATTTTTTTTAGATGGACAATTATGCTGTTACACGATATGGACAATTTTGCTGTTACGCTTTGTATACCGGAAGGTGAAGTCTCTCGCGTTCTCGGCAATTCACTCTCTTTTTATGATGAGAAGTTTGTAAATATTCTCTCTTTTTTTCCTCGATAGAAAGAAACAATTTTTTTAGTTATTCGGAGTCCCTTTCAAATTAACCCCTGTTGTCTTCCAGACAATTCTGAAATGTAATTTGTCGATTTTTTAAATGACTCAATGGCCAAAGATCGATATGAAACCACTACCTAGATTCTTAGTCTTAATCATATTTATCTTTGTGTAAAAAAAAAGGCTTCTCTGTCTCCAACCACTTATTATTTGTAAACAAGGTTTTCCAACAATGTGTATGATCAAAAGAAAACTTCGTGCAAGACTCTTAATTCAAAATATTATGCCGAATATACTCGAGTATAAGTCGAGTTTTATGTACAGTATTCCACGCAAAAAATAGCGGTCGCAATATGCAGGGGTAATTTTTTGTCGATGTAAAAATCCTGCATTTTTGGTAACAGGTTGCACTATACCCAGGTAATTTTTCGTGTGTGGTTAAAATTTATGCATTTTCGGTGACCGTAACATGCCAACGGAGAAGGCAGGCGCAAGGTAAAGGAACTATCGTAGTCAGGCATGAATTAACACAAAATTACATAATGTTCGTATCAGATATTTTATTCTGGAAGCGTTAAAATCCATACTAAAAAAAATCAGATGTCGCACATTATACATGAAGTCGACTTATACACGAGTATATACAGAATTGATTTAGTTGTTGAAAAAAACCGCATTCATTTCTCTGATTAATTGTGCAACAATGTCTTGAATAAAATTATAAACGAATCCTATTTGTTATCTATTTCGTAATATACTTTACATTTTATACCCAATTCGTCTCAAAGGAGATGCTAACAGAGTCGGTCGGGACGAGAAGAAATCCGGGTAGAGAAAACATTGAGGAGCGATTTGTAAGTGATGATGGGTCGACGGCAAATTTCGGATGGTGTTAAAATAACAACTCAGACTTCCATTGAAATTTGAAGGCATACGTGGAGCTGTGGTTCAAGAAGCCAAAGCTTTTCTGAGAGATGATTTATTTCATACCCAACGCAAAAACACAAGCATGAACATGCGCGCACATGTCCTCTCCCTATATGGGTGCATCTATATATATGATTGGAAGAGACAATCTATTCGAACTTGGGTCTCCGATTTATCATTCTGAGCCGTTATCTATTACACCACGTCATACATCTCACATGCCATATACAGTTTTTAACAGGTTTTTTAACGGTTTTTAACAGTATTTTAACTGGGTTTTTAACAGGGTTTTAACAGGTTTTTTAACAAGATGTTTAACAGGTTTTTTAACAAGATGTTTAACAGGTTTTTTTCACAGGATTTTTTTTACCAGTTTTTTTTAACAGGGTCATATCCTTATTGAGCCTATTTTTGTTTCTCCTGGGAGAAGATACTTACGTCTTTTCTTTGGACATATATTTACCATTAACAGTCGCTGTTTGTAACCGTTTGTTGTAAGATTATAATTTACTCATATGTTTTATTTCATATCCTAAATATTACGGCCATATCAGCTTGAAACACCGATTCCCGTCTTATCACCGAAGTTAAACAACGTTGAGACTAGTGAGTGCCTAAATGAGTGACCGCTTTAGAATACTGGCTGCTGTAAGTTGAATTGTGTGAGTTTTTCCAGTTACGAGTCCTTTTTTAAAGCTGATCGTTTTGTGTTCATTTTGTTTAGTTCTTTTTTCGTAACAGATTTAATGTTTAGTATAGAGCTTAGAAAAAATTCGCAGTGTCAGATAGGCAAGAAGTAAGGCATGTAGCAACATCAGCACGGCAAAGAGCACTCTTTTAAAGGCAAGGAAGGGCAAAAATATTTTAAGTCAAGTGATAGCGATTGCTGTATGAGTCGTACGATTTTTGAATCAAGCACGGGCAACGCCGGACCATGATGCTAGTATATATATATATATATATATATATATATATATATATATATATATATATATATATATAGATAGATAGATAGATATATATATATATATATATATATATATATATATAGAGAGAGAGAGAGAGAGAGAGATAGAAAAGAAGAAAAGTAACACACTGATATATACAGGGTATAATGGACAGATTGTCCTTTAAATTACGTATAGATGAAAATAACACTGACATCTCATTTTAACAGATATATTTAGCAAAATCACGCAAAAATATATTGAAATACTAAAGAGTAATTTTATTCAATAATTCTTCTGGGTGGTCTCCTTGTATAAGTTATTGAATGCTGCAACAATCTTTGCCTTCAGTTCATCTTTAGTGTTACAAGTTTTATTGGTCTCTCGCTCAACTACGCCCTAAACAATAATTAAGAGGGTTGCAGTCTGGGGAGTTAGGTGGCCAGATGTAAGGAGTGAAGAGGTCCCAGGAATTGTCTGACAGCCAGGCCTGGATTCTTTCTACTTGTGTGGTATGGTGCAGAGTTCTCTTTCCAAGCATAGGGTCTTCTAGCCAAAGGCAGCACTACCTCCTCAAGGCACTTGATGAAAGTGTTGAGTCGGAGGCCCTGTGGGAAGATGAATAAAGGTTTAACGTCGCCATCACTCCGAACACCATCGTAATCACCATTAGACTCATCTAATGTTTTCGAATTAATCCTCTGCACTGTCCTTAGTTTGACAGCCAAACACTCATAAATGTTCATATTGGAGCTTCCAGAGCGAATGCCAAGCAGTACACTATGTCGTTTCCAAATTTCTGGCGGAGTTATTCTCACAGACTGTACCCAAATGATCCTCCTGTGAAGTCGCCAAAATGAAAAACAAAGAACACGCGAAATTAAAAATATATAATGGTGACAATTTACTCATCGCAACCTGTATTTACGGGGTTTTCGTATAACATGTTTTTCCAACGATTTTTTTTCAAATGCCGCTTGTACTATTTGTCAAATAACAAAACTGGAATTCTCCTACATCATCTAAATTTTCCAATGCATAGAGATGGTCAATTCTACGTCGTGAACACTTCCGGTAACAGAAAAAGGGTTACGCGCACAAAATATGGATACGCATAATATATATATAACACACAGACAAGCAGACGAGCGCTCGCGCAAGAACACACACACGCACGAACGTATACACTATGAAAAAAAACCTGCACATATTAAAAGTGCATATAAAAAAGAAAAATCGAGAAGTATAAGCATTCAATTGCTGATAACCCCTGACGAGTGGACGGAATGATTCCTGGATGGCCTGTCTACGAAACTCGGGATACTGAAGGTAACTTCAATCAGCTAAGTGACAAACATGGTTAGAGTCTATAGTTAACAGATCTGGAGACATTTTAGTGTTTACCGATCTAAAAAAAAATGGTTTCTGCAGAGAATTTGGAGTTGACAGATATGAAGAGAGTCTGGAAGGCAGATCTGAAGAGAGTCTGGCAAATAGATCTGGGTGGACACTGAAGTTGACAGATCTTGATAGTGTTTAGAGTTTACTGATCTAGAAAAAAATCTTATGTTGACATACCTGGAGAGTGTCTGTAATTATCAGATCTGAGGGGGAGACTGGTGTTGCCATATCTGGAAAAAATCTTCAGAAATCCAAGACGACTTGTCACCTAGAATTCCAGAGACGAAGAATGGAATATTGTCAAAAAGAAAAATTACTAAATAACTTCCAATCCTCAGAGAAAATATATTTTCCGTCAAATGCGACATTGGAACGAATCGACCGATTCGCCTTTAATACATGTGACAGATTCGTATGTTGTGTTTCCTGCAGTTTCCTTGAAATGTTCTTGCAATTTCAACAGCTTTCTTTCTTCTAAAATCCAAAATCTCCATTGTTAAATATGCAAATCATTTTTGGCATGTGCTTGCAGCTACTCTATCAACAACATCTGATTCAGTGATTCATTTCATAGCTTAATCTGTAGTTTTTATCCTCAGGTTGAACAATGTCGAGGGTGCATTTTATATTCAACCATAATTTTGGCCAAAATAAAAGGGGGCCCAAATGCGTCTACGAGACTTTGTGGACGATTAATTGTTTTCTACCTTACAATCCCTTTTCCACAGACGAAACGTTGTAATCCTCTCGCTATCAATCGATATTTTTTTTAGCAATTCACCCCAAGCAAGGCGGAAGCACTACTAGTACGCAAAGGGTTTCAGACAGTATAAATAAGAGAATTGACTGGGTATGGGGGTGGGGGAGAAAAGGATAAAATAATGGATAAAAGAATATTGTTGCCATATATGGTCTGGTGCCCTCCTGTACGACTCGAGGTCCTCGGCAAAATCCAGCGACGAATATGCAATGTGATAGATCCTGATCTGGCATCTAGTCTACAATCGCTGTCCCACAGACGTGCCGTAACCTCCCTCTGTCTCTTCTACAAGTATTTTCACGGCATCTATTCCGACGAGCTACTTTTACTGGTGTTGCGGGCCCGGTAGCATGCAGTGCTGGTTTATTAAAAGGTGGCCTTGTGCCAGACACTACTTATGACTACCGAATCCACAAACAAAGTAAAAATATTAAATGAGTGATCTTTAGTGAGGAAAAAGGGTCATTCAACAAGTGCATAGAAATAATACAAAGTAGATAGACAGGAGGAAACGACAAAGCGAGTCCGGTTGAAAACATATATGAAATTTTATTTTAATAACAAATAATCTTGTCTCAACAATGGAGAGTATCAGAAAAGGTAAGGTCTGTTTTTAGCCTGTAGGCCGTTAGTAATATGTAGAATCTAATAAAATGTTAAAGTTCCGCGCCAAAACAGAAAAAAACAAGATGGCGAAGGCGGGAAATGTTTCTTCAGAATGAAAGTTCTGGAATGTAGTCTTCTTGTACAAAAGGTGTAAGCATACACAAGGAAAAATACTCACTGCGAGGTTTAATAATGTGTGTGTAATGTTATCTTTTTTTTAAACTGGTTCGTAAAGGTTAGAATTCAAAAGAAAAGTGAAAAGTTCATCAATCTTCAGTGAAGGAAAATTCTGAGTTGTTCGCATCAAGACGAGGAAATTAGTCTTGGAAAGGTGTGATGACGACCATGTCGTAGATTCTGGTAGAAAATGGAAGTTCGAAAGTTGTTCGCATCAAGACGAGGAATTGGTCTTGGAAAAGTGTGGTGACGACAGTGTAGAAGATTCTGGTAGAAAATGAAGTAGGTTCAAACATGTTGTTCACTTCAAGACGAGGAATTGGTCTTGGGAAAGTGTGATGTCGACAGTGACGATATTCAACGTTTTCTAGTAGAAAAACGGAAGAAGGTTCAAACAAGTTGTTTGAAGAGAAGTTGTAATCACACGACATCTTGAAGTTTTGGTTAGTTAAGATATTCCGGCCCGCGTATGGGTTAGGGGCACGGAATAAATGAGTCAACCTTCTAGTTTGAAAATCAGGCGGCGACTGACTTGAAAAACGAAGTTTGTCAGTGACGTCAGGACACGCGCGGGAAAAATTTCAAATTCTGATCCTAGACGGTATCAGGAGTAGCCAGCAACCTCCCTCACGTCAGCGTTTACTTCTATATCTAGCTGAACGTGACAGGAAGGGGTGTAGTCCGCGCGCGCGCGCACACACGCAAAAGGGTGGAATTCACGATTCCACACTGGTTCCCAGACTGCATGAATTTAAGCGAGCTACCAGGCTGGCATCTCGGTCCCACCCTTTCACTGTCAAAAAAAAAAACTTCTTCTCTCGCACTTCCTATCTGTGGAACTTCCTTCCCCTTATTGCCTCCCCGATGAATGTAATCTTCAAATATTCAAGTGTAATGTCAATCGACCTCTGACACCCAGAAATTGTTCCCCGTCCTTTTCTGTATCCTTTCCTCAAATACGCCTCTTTACTCTTGTTCTCAATCCTCTGTAACCCCTTGCGTGCTAGTGGCACTCCCGCCTTGCTTTGGTTGAATTGATTTTAAAAAAAAGAACGGAGGATAAAAAGACAAACGAGAATCAAGGAAAAAGAAGATGGCGATTTCCACGGAAAATGTTCAGACGAGATATATTCGTTAGTTCCACCAACCCATACCGCTATGACCCGCCACACCACGTACACTGAGCCAAACCGCGCCCATTCCCTTTGTATTCCATTTGTGAGGAATAAGTTCCACTAGAACAGCTTCTTATGAAACGCTCCCAAGAGGATGCTTTCCCGATCATCACAATCCTTACCTGTTCAAGCGTAGAATTAACTGTCATCTTTACCACATATCCTCATAAACTGCAACTCTTACTTTCTTACTCTTATAGTTCACACAACTAACTACGTCAGTAACCTCTACCTCGACTGGCTCTTGGGCCTTGTAGAGGGTGGACATTAGTAAGAAAAAAATGACTCAATTTTTACTTTTACACAAATTAAAAGTGCGTGAAAGGTCAAGCTATAACGATCCAAGTCAATTTGCATGTGAGTAATGAGGAAGTTTTAATAAAAGTAGAAACTCCATGGAAACTGATGATAAAATGGTTGGGACACATAATAAGAAAAACAGGTTTAGTAAATATAACACTCATAGGAAATAATGAAAGCAAGAAAGGCGGGGAAAACAGTGAGTAATCTAATTAAAGAGTTTGAATGAACGGATGGTGGAGTAATGACGACTATCACTTTGTAGAACTCCGGAGAGGATGATTCCATGACCACTGAAAGTTTTCTAAGGTCGATCGTTATCTATCCTACATATCCTCCCGATATGCCCCTCTCACCTCCTCTCTTTATGCATTTTAAACAACCTTGAGTGGTTCTCGAGCTTATATTCAGTCAGTCAGTTATATGCCATACGTGATACCCGCTTAGGTGATCATATATATTTCGATGCATGACTGACGAGGTAGGTTGCCATTTCTTTCTGCGGCAGACAGGTTGCTATCCAAGGCTATAGAACCCGGTCTATTTAACCATAGCTGGTGGTAGAAGAGGAGGATTCATGCCTTTCCCAATGGTATTAGCACGTAACTGAATGTAAAGGATTCGACTGAAATTTGAACTCGGCTCTCCGATTCCTCGAGCCGATATCTATTACTGCACCGTGCTTATATTAGTAGTATAAAAAAGTGGGATCATAAAAGGTAAAAGTTAGTAACACCAACAAGAAGATGTGGGGAGCCATGAGCGCTTACGTCCAGAAAGGAAATGGCATGTATATTTGTGTATATACCTGTATACGTTTATCTGTGCCTATCTGAATATATGTGCGTTTGTGTATGTATGTGTGTTTGTGAGTATATGTGTAATAATGGTCATAATTATGTACGCACCCACCTCACCCAGCATATGAAGCCGCATGGTTTTGAATGGTTAAGCGCCTTCAGATCGCAAAGGTGACGATAGAGGGGGGGATATGAGGGTGCTAGAGTGTTAGAGTGTTGGGGGGGCAGATTATATTTGATAGGTTGGGTGGGGGTCAAGGCTGTAGGGTGGGGTGCTTTGGCTCGGGAGATGATGCTGCGTCTGGAATGTTCTCTGTCGGTGACTCACGGACGTTTCTGTCTCGTGAAATGCCGCTAGGGAGGGCTAGAACGGTGGGGGTGGGGGATTGGAAGTGGTGGTGGACTGCAAGAAGATGGAGGAATAGGGTAAGGGTAGGGGGTTGACAAGGATGAGTCGGATTTAGAGTAAGGAATGGAAGAGGAAGAGGAAAGATTGGGAAGCGAGAGAGTGAGAGAGTGAAGGGGGATAGAGAGAGAGAGTGGGAAGGGCAAAACAGAAACATGACGAGGGTGGGGGTGGGGGTTCTTGGTCGCTGATTACTACACGGCAGTACGCTCAAATATCAAACACCGCACACACATACACGTCATTTTTTTCATGACAAATATGCAAGCACTCACGCATGCATTTTTACTTATACTATGTCTCCATCTGTTAGTAATTATGACGCAATTAATAAAATTTTTAATCGGACATTATATCTTACCTTATTTAAATTGTGCATGTCCGTCCAGCTCTTTCGTTCACTCGACCATTACGCCCTGCCAATACCTCATAAATAATGGACTATTCTGCGTTTATATCGGGCGGAAAGTGGAGAAAAGACATTACAGTGAGGAAATGAAAGAAAGAAGGGAAGATGGAATTAGCGAAAGAGAGAGAATCAGATTAAGCTGATAAGAACAGATACTATATTTTGATCTCAGCCAAATGACGGAGAAGCCATGGCGGCCGAGATAAAAGCAATATTTTTCAAACGCAAACGACGGAAACTGAGTAAGACATACGCAAAAAAAAAAAAAAACGGTTACCATAAATAAAATAAGACTGTCAGCTGAATTATCTTAAAATTATTAAGAGAAATGTTTATAAAAAACGGGTATTTGCCTAGAAAGAAGGGAAGACAGAAGTGTTTAACGTCTCCTGCCAACACCTCATAAATAATGGACTATTCTGTTTTGATTGCGCAGAAAAGACATATGAATGAATGAATGAATGAATGAAGGGAAAGTTACTAGTGTTTCAGTTACGTCTGTTTCAATGAAATAGAAAAATTTGCCAATTTCAAATCTTTCCATTTGTACCTACTTCTTAAAATAACGACCAGCATTCATATTTATGATTGTTATTGCAATATTTTATTAAAGTTGTTAAGCCCAAATATTTAATGATGTGATAGGGGAATTTTTACGGATATTTTATTGTTGTAGAACTTGCCATGAGCTTATTCAATCATTAACTTAAGAATTAAGATTCATCAGGAATTTCAAATAGGAAAGCCATTAAAATTTCACGAGTCTTTCTAGTATAAATGGTATAGTTACTGGTTACACGTGGTTTTTCTTTGTCTTGTTTTTTTCTTTAAGCAGAGAAATTAATGTCTACCAGCATAGAGACGAAGAAGTGCTTTTGTTTACTATTTTCGCCCAATTCAAAACCAAAAAGCCACTCAATGTAGAGAGTTACTAACTGAGGTTGTGGTCAAGAAATCGAAACAGTCAGAAAGCGTCGTGCTTGAACGAAAGGCGGGAAGGAGCTCAGACACAGAGACAAGGTCACTCATTTAGGAGAGCTAAAGGACTAATTTGAAAGGGAGGGCACAAAAACTTGTAAGAGATGAGCTGACATCCCGTGTCCCCGTAACCTATAGACTTACTATAGAGCTCTACAACTAAGGAAATATATAATAAGATAGATATGACCATATAACCACAACTAAAGGAACAATCGGGGGTTATAGCAAACTTTTGATTTACTTCAAATCAGTATAGCATAAATCTAAGAGGGAAGAGAATTAGCAGCAGAATATCAAAAATATATAATAAAAAATTCATTAATTTTTTTTTTTTGCGGGGGGGATCTTCTCCTTGGCTGAGGTAGTCTTTATCTAAACCCAAACATAGAAGATGACATTACATTGATTCTCAACCGCCCTGCAGCGGGACACTAGTGTGCCGTGTGATCCTCTTAAGGGTTCCGCGAAATATTGTCACGACATATATATATATATATATATATATATATATATATATATATATATATATATATAAATTGTGTGTATTTAGGCAGCATTTTTTCATTCATACATATTTCATTAAATAATATAGACAAGTTTTGTCTATTTATTTTATGTAAATTCTTTTCATAACGTCTGATAAGCTTAATAACATTATCATTAAAAGAAGAAAGAAAATCACAATATTGATCCATATTTTTTAACCCAATCTAAGCTTTCGGTTTACATAAGCCATTATCAAAGATGTCAATTACTGTAAAGCAATATACGGACAAGACAGTGATGATAGTCTGTTATTGCTTACATGGATGATTTCCAAGCAACGATAATATATCAACGGCTTCCCATGCTTCATACTTCTCGAATTCAATCTCGTGTGGTCATGTGTGACGTCATGAGCTGCGGTGCGATTTTCGCTTCTAGCGTCTTATATGCACGTGTTTATCGTTGCTTGGAAATCATACACTTGTTTGTTATTTTAGTGTGTTTCCCCCCTCTTTTTGCTCTTCATTGTCGTTAATATTCTTTTCGTTGATCCAACGATTGTCTCCTGATGAGATGCTGGCTGAAAGGGCCCTAGAGACTTTTAAAATTAAAATCAATACATTCCTTGTTTTTTAATATATATATATATATATATATATATATATATATATATATATATATATATATATATATATATATATATATATCAGTTTTTCATATCTATCTATCTCAGGCTGTTGATATCTGTCTATCTATCTATCTATTTATCTATCTACCTATCTATTGTCTCTATCTGTTTCATCTATCTAGATCTATTCATTATATATATATATATATATATATATATATATATATATATATATGTCTTTTTCATATCTATCTCAGGCTGTTGATATATATCCATCTATCTACTGTCGAAATCTATTTTATCTATCTAGATCTATTCATTATATATATATATATATATATATATATATATCAGTTTTTTCATATCTATCTATCTCAGACTGTTCATATCTATCTATCTATCTGGATGAAACGATTCTCACGTCAAGAACGACGCCTATCAGGTTCAGTAAATTCTTGTACAGAACAAGTGAATTGTTTAAAATGGTCTATGACCTGTGTACCCTCCAGTGCACACTGTTGTCATCATAGCACCATGTCCTATGCTGTTACTCTGCATGCCACATGTCAAATGATCTTACAATCGTAGGCTTTTGGGGGCATAGTATTTTTCCATCTCCTAACTGCAACATGGCCGTTAGCTCCCAAGAAGCTCCTCTATCTTTTATCATCACTCTTCAGGCTGTTTTGAACTACAGTGGTTACCAAGCAAGGTTATAGGGCCCAGTCTATCCTGCTGTTTGCTCATAGCAAGAGGGGATAAGGTTATAGGGCCCAGTCTATCCCCCTGTTTGCTCATAGCAAGAGGGGATAAGACATGGATTTATACCTTACGCGTAAGTGAAATCTGATTTACGTAACAAAGTATATATTTGTTAACATAACTGCGCTAGCCTAGGAAAGGATCTGTATAAATAGACCGGGTTCTATAGCCTTGGATGGCAACTGGTCTACCGCAGAAAGAAATGGCAACTTACTGCGGGGGTGGGAGTGAGGGAGAAATTTACCTGGTCAGTCATGTATTGAAAGATACATGATCGCCTACGCGTGTATACTGCATGGGCACATAAATGATACTGATTATCATAATATTTAAAAACACGACTTGTAATAAGCATAAATATATTTTATAGCTAAATAAATTAATTAATTATAATTTTATATATGTTTTATACATAATTTTATTTGATTTACGTAATAAAGTATATATTTGTTAGCACAACTGCGCTTGCCTAAACAAAAATGAGTGGTTAGAAAGCTATTTTGTCTATCGTCTTTCATTTACACGCTTCTTTGTTCTGGACGATAGTGATTGTTCTTAATCTCTGCCATGTGGTTGACAGTCAATGTTTCAATAAACGTGATGATGATGATAATAATAATAATAAAAACAAAAACTGCCGACTACGAGTTATCTCGTGCTTATCATTTTCTGATACATTTTCATTTGCGGACGCCAACAGTGAGTTTACTTGCAGTGATGCTTTTTAGTGTAAGAACAAATGTCAAGACTTCAGTTAAAGCTAGTATAAATCGACTCATATTTATTTATATTGCCTACGTTGGCGTTTTAAATCTGATTTCCTAATTGACCTCTGGCAGTCAACGTGGTAAACTTATATAAAAAAAAAAATCTTTGGCGGAATTTTTTTATTATTATTTTTAGACTTTATTTTTATAAGTTGAAAAATTCATTTCCCACTGTTTTTTTGTTGGTTGGTTGATTTGTTTTACCTGCATACCAACTTCTATGCTTTATTTAATGTTGAAATCTGAATATTTTGAATAATTCTATGGCTTCAACTAAATATATTTTGGACGCAATTATATGCGTTCAACTACAGATTAAAAGTATTGTTGGTCATTTTACCATAAAATGTATTGTTGGTAATTCTACTATATGTATCGTTGTTAATTTCCTGTAAATGAGTATCGTTGATAATTTTCCTATAAATAAGTATTGAGGATATTTTTCCTATAAATATGATGGTAATATTAATATAAATATGTATTGTTGGTAATTTTTTAATATAAGAATATATTGCTGATTTTTTTTCCTATAAAAATGTATTTTTATTTATTTATTTTTTTTTTTTTTAAGCATTTCACCCAAGCAAGGCGGGAAGCCACTAGGACGCAAGGGGTTACAGAAAATTTAGAGCAAGATCAGATAGGAGTGATAGAAGAAAGGATGAGGGTAGTGGATAGATCAAGTCAACTGGAGATGTCGATTGACATTACACTTGAATAGCTGGAGATTATAGCTCTCAGGGAAACAGGAATAGGGAATGGAGTTCCACAGGTGAGAGGTGCAAGACATGAAGCTATTGGAGTAGAAGAGACGGTTATATTTAGGAGTTTCGACAGTGAAGGGGTGAGAGCGGGATGCCAGCCTCGTAGGGCGCTTGAACTCATGACGTCTGGGAACCAGCGAATGCAGCTCCTCGGAGCAATTTCCATGAAAGTATTTGTAGAACAGACAGAGGGAGCCGACAGCGCGTCTGTGAGAAAGTGACGAGACGCCAGAGCAGGGCCAACTACATTGCATATCCGCCTCTGGAGCCTATCAAGAACTCCGAGCCAAACAGAAGGGGCACCAGACCATATATGGCAGCAATACTCCATGCAAGGGCGAATTGTTGATTTGTAGATCT